CCAAAAATCAAGTAAGGGCAAAGCCAAATGTCACTGTGCTTTGAAAAGCACCACCTTCGAGGTATTCCTGGGGAAAACACAGATCACTGTATGCAAATGAAGATGGAAAAGAACAAGGGAGTGACTACTTGAAAAATGGGTTAGTCAGACTCAAGTGCTCTGTCTAGAACTCGGTGAAATTTGTGGCATGCCATGACCCACCAGTTTAGAAACAGGACATTTATGAACAGGCCGGAGGGAGGGTGGAGCAGGTGCCTGTGGCCCTGCTGCAGCCATGGATCCCATGACTAGAGAATCTAAATAGAAAAGAGAAGCGCCAAAAAACTATTTCTGGACAGCAAGTTCTCATCCAGCCTCTGTGGGAGCATGGATGGCATCTGCAGCCCCCTCTACGAAGCCACACTGCACTGGCCCACTCCATCTCCTTGCACAGCACTAGAGCCACAGAGGTCCAGCAGTGCTCTCGTGTTTTACAGCAATTGGATTGATTTCATCATCCAGCTCTAGTAAGTCATCACTTAAAAACACAACAAAACAAAAGAGATAATCTCAGCATTCAGCCCCACCAATATACTGCAACTCTCTCTGCAACTCCACCTGGAAGAGTTCCCTCTTACTTCAGTTACTTCCTTCTTGGCACTTCAAAGGAACCAAGAAATCTCTCTCTCTTGACAATCCCTGTTTACCTGCTCAGTACTTCACTCACTAATCCAGCAGCAAGGTTAAAACAGCAACAGTGGAGGCAGATTTAATGAAGGTACTAAGTTGGAAGACTACAAAGGGAAAACAAGAATTTTCTGAATTTCTTTTTAGCAGGACAGGTACTGATGCTCTGAAGGAGCAATATATGTTAGTGCTTATCAGGAAGGTCAGGAACTCCCTCACTTCTTCCAGCTAAAGGTCACCTTTATCAATCACACAGTCATCAATATAAACATCAGAGGGACAGGAAGAATTAATTCCCCAGTGCATCTCAAAATGATAATTTCTTCTGATTAGAACATTCTTTCTGCCTAATACTTCCAAGATGCAGAAACCAGTAATGTTCCTTAACCACAAGAACTCCTTCCTCCTTTCCTCACAAGGAGCAGTTTTGTAATAAACTGTCAAAAAAACCCAAAACTATTTGAACAATTGAATTTGTTGGAAACAGAAAGCATTAGATGCCAAACACTTATATGGAAATTATGCTTTGTGACATTCCAATAATGTAGAATAAAAGTCAGTAATTCTGCTCAGCTTAGCATGTAGTAGGATCCATTTGCTTTCACACAAAGGCTTTGACTTTGCTGGTTTTCCTCTGTTTCAGAGCCAAGAAAGCTGAAGTGAGAGAGTAGGGAGGGCTCTGCCTCACATGAGACACCAATGACAGCAGCAGCTCAGCTGCCAATGATCAGCTTTTCTGTCCTATTAGCATCAAGTTCTAAACAGCATTTTCCTGACTCAGGATTTTTACAAGACAGCAACTGGAATGAAAAATTGTTCTTTCATTACATACTGTAGTTAAAGATTAGTTTTCAAATAATTCCTAAAATCCCAGGCACAACAGTCCAAAAATTTGGTAATAGCCAATCAGATCAAACTGTATCTCTGAAGAAAAGAGGAATAAAAAAAAGGGAAACAATGAATAGAGCAATAAATTCTCCCTTTGCAGAACATGACTAAAACTGTAGACACAGGTAGGCCTTCACTGCAAGGCTAGGTGTCACCTCAGCAACAGCACTGGACCACCTATCTTCATCTCCCCCTCCAGTGGGAAACAAGTCTCTTTTTCCAATATTTAACTTACTCTGAGCTTACAAGTATTAACTGAAAACAGTTCCCAGAACTACAGTGACACTTCAGTCACAACACAAGTTTTCTGAGGCACATCCAGTACCCCAAAGCTGGCAGGGTGTCTTCACATCACTCCAATTCTGCTGGTACAGAACCTGCACAACACAGTCCAGCTGGTGGAACTCTGTGTGTCAGACATACTATCACACAAAAGAAAAATAAAGGAAAAAAGGATAAAAAGGGAATTCAGAGGGAATTCCATTCCACCTTTCAGGTTTCACATCATCTGTCAGGTACCCCATGTGATTACTATGTTATATTTATTGCTGGAGACCCAAGGACATGCATTAAATATAACAATGAGCTACTTTATGACAACTACATTGGAACAATGGTAGGGAAATAAGCTACCAAAATGATGCAAGTGAAAATGAAAAGCAGAGCTTTGGTACAACAAAACTGGAAGAACATTCTCAGCTACAAAATTTGACTTCACTGAGTTCCTATCACAGTTTGGGCCTTATTTTAAATAAACTAACTGTCTGAAAATAAGTGTTTATAAAAGGCTGTTTGTTCATGTATGCTCCTGAACACCTTTCTCCTGCTTCTTGGCATACTTCCTGCCCTTTCCTCTTCAGGATCTTGGCAATGTGAAGACGCTAAAGCCTGTACATGCCTGTCTTTGAAGTATCTGACTTCCTGCCTAAGCATATTTACACCCCTGCTACTTGCCAGACTGTACATCACCTGTGCCAGCTTCATTGCCTGTCATAAAAGGTGGCTGGAATAACCAGCCAGTGCAGCTGTTTGCCTGGAGATGAGCAGAAACATGCCCTTCAGAAACCAAGCTCAGGAAACAAAGCAATGACACTCAGAGCAGGAGAAATACAGAATAAGGAATCACTACCTCTTCCTAGTGCAGTTTTCCTCAGCTGTTATAAATTAGTTTATTGCCTCACCCCAAATTCCTGTTTTCCTCCAAGCTCAGCTGTCTCAATAAAGACTTTTTGACAAGGCTCACTTTTTGACATGTTAACTTTGACACAAACCAGAAGGAAACAAGCACTTAACAAGCAATGGTAACAAAGAGCTCCGTGTTAATAAAAACAGCAACAAAACTGAAGCAACTGACAATGGATATGTGAGGACAAGGCTCCATCCCGGAGATGGAGCTCAGTGTGAGCAGAACCAGAAGCATGCAGGAGGGAGAGCAAGTCACTGCGAGGGACACAAGCACTGCCTCACCTTCCTCTTGTCCAATGAGGGTATGGCTACCCCATTGGAGCGGTTAAGGTCTGACACCAGCACCTTCAGAATGTTCTGAATCTACAGGAGGCGAAAGAAAAGGGGAAAGAGAAACGGCTCAGAGAAGGACAGAGAGAAAACGTCAATCCAAGGCAGCAAGGAACCAGCCTCGTCCAGCAGTGAGGACCACACGCCTCGCTCAGCCCAGCAGCTCTGGCACACCCAGGGCACCGTCGGACAGACTCCAGTGCCAGCTGCACCCTGCAGAACAGGCAGCTGCCAACTGCTGCAGCACACTTCACACAGCTCCTACACCACTCAGCTCTTACCCCAGCACTTCCAGCTTCGGTCAGATTGTACAGAAAACCAAAGAGGGAGGTGGCAAATGATTTGAGAGAAAGAATGAGACACTCACATTCTCTGGAGGCTGCTGGTCATCGGTGGTGGGAGTCGCAGGTCTGCTGCCTTCTTTAGTTTTGCGTTTTTTCTTAGTTCCTGCAGTTGCTCCAGGGCTGTTCTTCTGCTGATATTCCTTCAGCTGTGAACAGAAGAAGATGAATCTGAAGTCCAAACAGAACATGCCTTCTATAACCCCAAAAAACCCTCAAAATCTAACTTCACTGGTAAAAATAGAGATCAAGTATAACGATAAGAGGAATGCTCTTCCATGAATTCATCAGTTTGGGGGAAAAACAGGAATCAAAATAAGCCCAGAGAAGGCTAAAGTTAAGACCAAGTGATGGATTTATGACAAGAGTTGTAAACATTCAACTTCTGTTTACAGCCAATGCTGTTCCTGGGAAACTCTTTCATACTCCATAGTGCAACTAAAAGGAGATTAAAAGCACTGGTTTGGGGGACTTTCAGGGTTATAAGTAAGAGCAATAAGGCAAAATTAATAAAGGGCAATTAATCCTACATGCAAAGTGAGAAAGCAGTGCCTGACAGTTAAATCTTCCACGCCATGAAAGATTTTATGAAGGACAGTTGCTATCCCCACAGCAGACACTGCAACAACTGCGAACTAAGGGGAGAAACAATCTACAAATTATTTTTAATCGCATCCACTTCGCCCAGGAAGTGCGGGTCTGATAAGATGTAACTCGAATCCCGCCAGGACTGCCGGCATTTCTGTGCAATTCCTGCACTCCCGAGCCCCAGAGCGGCCGGTCCCGGCAGTTGTTTATGCAAATAACGGCACCCCCGGCCCGCACAGCCGGGCAGGGCACGGCGGGGCAGCGGGGGATGGAGAAGGACGAAGGAGGATCCCATTATTGGTAGGATTTCAAAATGGAAGCCTGAACTGCTCCAGGACACTTTCCCGTTCCTGTGACTTTGACACAGGAGCGCATCCCGCCGGGACGCAGGCAGCCGGGCCGCCCCGAAGGAAAAAATAGGGGAAAAACAGGGAAAAAAAGGAAGGCGAGGGGGAGGAGGAAGGAAGGCGGGGGGGACCCTACACCCGCACGCCAGCCCGGGCAACCCTCACAGCACCGCAGCCACCCAGGCCCGGCCTCGCCCCGGCCGCCCGCCGAGAAGGCCGGGCCGCAGCCCCGGACGCCCGCAGGCTCCCGAGCCCCACACGGCGGCCGGGCCCGGAGCGAGGGGGCGGCGGCGGCCCGGCCCGCGCCCCTCGGGGGAGGCCACGCTCGGCCCGGCCCAGGGTCCGGCCTGCGCGGGGCTCGCGGTACGCGGCCGCCCCCAGGTCCGTCGTGCCGTATCCCGTCCTGCCCGGACCCCGGCCCCTCACCTTCTTCTTGGCCGCGGCCAACCGGCTCTGCCTGCTGCCGTCCGCCATGTCCGCCCCGCGCCCGGGCCACGTCAGCCCGCCAGGAGCGGCGGGGGCGGCGGCGGCTCCGCCCCCGGCCGGCCCCGCTCCGCCCCGGGACACCCCGGGGTGACACCGCGGGACAGCCCGGCCCCGCCGGGACACACCCGGCTCTGTCCCGCTGCGGTAGTGACCCGACAGCCCAGAGCAAATGCCGGGAGGGGCCAGCCCCGCTCCCCTCGCCTTTGCGGGGCGCGTCCCGCACAGCGGCCTCGCGTTCCGCCCTGTGGTGTCCGAGCGCTGGTCCCGCGCGCAGCACAGGAGACGGGGTCGCTGTGTGTGATCCCAAATCCTTTGACCTTCCAAGCGCGGCAGCACCTGAGGCTCGGGCAGCCCCGGCTCCGAGACACGGCGCTCACAGGCACACGGCTCCCTGCGGCGGGACGGGGCCTCCAGCGCTGTCCGAGCCTCTGCGCGGGACTCGGGGGGCAGGCCCGAGGGAGGTGCGGTGGCCCGGCGGAACACAGGGACAAGCAGGGGCGTGGGCAGTGCTCACTTTGCAAAAACAACATTGCAGGGGTGCTCAAGAGTAAAGACTCGACGTGGCACCCAGTGCCGTGGTCTGGTTGGCATGGTGGTGCTCGATCACAGGGGTGATTTTTCGAACCAGATTGATTCAGTGATTCTGTGTGAGTGACCCCGAGACGCCCCTGAGGCCCCGTCCCAGCTGAGCCGCGGTGCTGAGGTGTCTCTGAAGCACCACATGTAACCACCTCGGCTGCGGCCATTGGGGGACAATTGTGTCCTGCCACACCCAATGTCACCTGCAGCCCCACCACGGTCGAGCCCAGCAGAGGACTACAACTCCCGGCGTGCCGCTCGGCGGCACGACTACAACTCCTAGCGTGCTCTGTGGCGGGGGAACTACAACTCCCGGCGTGCTCTGTGCTGGGGACTACAGCTCTCCGGTGTGGCGGGAGCCCCGAGGCTCCGTGAGCGCGGAGCCCTCAGCCCTGGCCGAGCGGGCCCCGCCGAGCGCGGGCCGCAGCCCGCCCCGCCACCCGCCGCCGCGGGCCCTGCCCAGGAGGTAGGAGCCGGTTCCCCGCTGTCCCTCCCCTCCCGGGCCGTGCCCCCGCCGAGGCGGCGGTACCGGCCCCTGACGCGGCGCCCTCTGCTTTGCCAGGGTCTCGGCCGGCGGCCGGCGGAGCGGCACGGCCGGATTCCGGGCCCCGGTGAGTGCTGCGCGGGCTCCCCCGGGAGCCGCTCCCGCGTTCGCGGGGCTCAGCCCGGCCCGGTGGGGAGGGTTTTTCCTGGAGGGTTCCCCGGGGTCGCGCCGGCACCGCGGTTTGCGCTGTGTCGTGCTGGGAGTTTCTCCTGAAAGGCACATTGTGGGTTTTAATTATTTATTTTCACTTTACACCGTAGCTCTCGAAAGTGCGGTTAGATGTGATATGGAGCAGGCTAGCGTTATATACACTGATCCACATTTTATTTGAACACCCCCTCCCTGCCCTGGGGATTTTTTTTTCCTTTTCTCCTCTTTTATTCGGTGGTGTATACACTATTTTCCAATTCGTACTCCGGCATTGTAGCATCTTACCCAGAGCTGAGTTCCTGCTGTGTGTCTTCTGTATTCTCCAGATCCCATCTCCCAGGTCCTTCCAGCCTAATGGAGCCAGCAAAGAAGCCTTGCGGAGTGAAATCAAAGAGCTGAAACAGAAAGACCTCGCTCTAGACCAGGAAATTGCACAATTATTGTCAGAGTACGTCCTTGGCAGGCTCAGTGTTTACTTGATGCCTTAATTATTTTTGTTTTTAAAATAAAATGTGATCCAGGAATTGGAGCTGAGAGCTGACCTTCTATGATGCCATTGGTGGTGTGGTGCAATGTTGGTTACAGTGTTGTAAGTGATGGGAATTCTTTCCACTTCATGTGGCAAAACAAAACAAGTTTTACTAGGAGCTTGCATAAGAGGATTTTTGTTTTAGCCTGGGTGTTCCTGAGGTAATTATGTGTTTACTGGGATCAGATAATTTTAGCCATTTGTTATTTGTTGTGAAAGACTGATATTTTCAGTGTAGTGCATGGGATGGAAGTGGTAAAACAACAGAGGCTGTTCCAGAACCCCTTTTCATTTATCCTCAAGGATAAACAAACCTTCTAGCTACAGAACAAGAGGAAATGGCCTCGGGCTGTGCCAGGGGAACTTCAGGTTGGACATCAGGAGGAATTTCTTTGCTGCAAGGGTGATTAAACATTGGACTGGGCTGGCCAGGGAGGTGATGGAGTCATGGTCCCTGGAGGTGTTCAGGAGATGAGTGCATATGGCACTCAGTGCTCTGGTTTAGTTCATATGGTGGTGCTTAGCCACAGGTTGGACATGATGCTCTTGGAGGTCTTTTCCATCCTAAATGAATCTACAATTCTTAATTTTTTCCCTATATACAGATTAGAGATACAGATCAATGGAATTCACCACAGCCTACTCCTGTTTCTACTGGATTCTCTGAACTTGGGTGCACTGGCTTTCTTGAGCTTGTTTAGAGCTTTCATGTTTAGGACTTGCAGCAACTGCACTTAGCTGTGTTCAGTCTCTGCTTTTGAGGTGCCAGGCTTGGGTATGTCCCACAGCAGCAGGAAGCCCCAGTCCCTCTGTGCCATTTGTGACCTTTCTGGTGTTATTTTACAGGGGCTACAGCCTGGAGGAACTGGACAAGCACATCTCTCTGCTCCATGAGTACAATGAAATCAAAGATGCTGGGCAGATGCTCCTGGGCAAGCTAGGTAAGGAAGGGAAAGCTGTTCAAGACCTTCCTAGTCAGTGTTTTCATACACACACAGAAAGAAGCTGCTACCATGGAGGCAAAGCTTGTGTTACAGATTCTTCACTTTAAAAAAAGTGTTTGGGCAAGCGTGAGGCACAGCTGCAAAACCTTGGGTTTCTTGGCTATGGGATGTGCTGTGGGATAATTAGGGGAGGAAAACACCACATTTCTGACTCACCTGATCTTTGTTTAATGAAAGCAATGCTGTTTCTTTATTTCCTAGCTGTTATCCGAGGGGTCACTACAAAACAGCTCTATCCTGAGTATGACCTGGAGCTCAGTGACTAGTCCTGAACCTGGAGAGTGCCATGTCCTGCAAAAGTGACTGTCACTGGGCCATTACACTTTGGTGTCGTCCTGGTTTAGGAGAGACAGAAGGTGGAAAAGGAACCTTTGGAAAAGGGATGTAGAAAAGGATTTTAGATAATTTCATGTACTACCTGATCAACAGGATTTTTTTTTTTGAAAGGTTGTAGTTCAGGTTGATGTTGAGCCTCTTCCATGGAGCCTTTGATTCCCTGCAGTATCCAGGGTCTGTTTGGTTACTGAATGGATAGAGGAAGTGAGGACATACACATGTGCAATGTAATAGCTGCTTTGAAAGGAAAACCCTTAGAAGAAAGGAGGGAAGAAGGCAGAAATTGTGGTGGTTTGGGGGTTTATTTTGTTTTATCAACAAATCCAGAGAAGTCTGGGTGTTCTGCATTTTTGTACTTACCTGCTCTGGTATCTGGAGGTTTTGTATCATTTCTGTAGTAAATGGCAAAACGTAAAGTTGTGTTGAACTGTTCACTCTGAATAAAGCAGCCTTCACATCTGTCAGTAAATCACTTTAAGAGCCTATAAAACACTGCATGAACCTGGGATCAAATTCTAAAACTATACTGAGACAACTCTAACATGAGTTATTCAAATGTTTTCTCCAGGAATGTGCAGGTGCAGAATCACTTTTGTCTGCTCTAAGTGCAGAGTCATGGTGGCAGTGAGTGCTGTCCTGGACAGTGGATGATGTTGGGAGCACGAGTGTTCCAATGTCAGTGTGAGGGCTGAGGGTGACTGCACAGACTAAATTTGGCTGCTTTGGGCAGTTGGAAGTGATGAAGTGCTCTGCTGACTGCAGATCTATTGTCCCTTTTTCACTCAGACTTGATGTCCTTCTGCCCATTTTTACTTTCCAAGACCTTCTAGCCAGTAAGTTTCCCCTGTGCTCTCCAGTTAGGCCCATGCTGCAGTGTGCTTACATCCAAATTTGAATCAAATTAATCTGTCTTCATTGTGGTTGGAAGCCAGAAACCAGTCACAAGGCTGCTGCTGAGAACAGATAATTTGTTTTACACTCCTGGCTCTGGATGTGGCACAGAAATGTCACTAATAGTGTCTTGTTTTGCTTTAAAAACTATGGGGAGTGGTCTCAAGCAGGGGGACAGAAATTCCATGTATATTCCATGATTCATCCAAGTCTGTGTTGATGTGTAGCTGTGCAGAATATTTCCTGTGCCCAGACCAGAGTGGACTCTCTGGGGGGACATTCACACCCCTCCCTAACACATACCCCTCTGCCAAGTGTGGAACACTCATGTGTTTTGGAGTAGTTTTAAGGGAGGAAAAGCACAAGGTGGCAAGAACTGGGAAATGCAAACTTTGTTACTCAAGTTGCTGTTTTGGCTGGTATTTTCTGTGTAGAAGGACTGGTTCAGCCTGGAGTGTTCCAACCAAAATGTTCCTCTGTCAGAGACACACACTGCTGGAAATTGCTTTTGCAATAGGAAAATTCTCCAGTATGTGTGAGGTGTGAGCTGAGGGCATGAAGTGTAATCCATTACCAGAGTTACTGAAGGTTGTTCAAGGAGTGAGAAGTCCATGTTTTCTTCCCCACTATGTAGGAGCACTGGGGTTAAAACTTGCAGCTGTAGCTGTGCAAGTGTTCTGCTTGTGGCTGCAGGGATGGGTTTATGCTCCAGCTAGCACTGGGCAGGTGTCCAGGGAAGGTTCCCTGATCCCAATCCCTTGCCAGTGGAGGATGAGAACACCCATAGAACCAAGGACAGGGCACAGTGTCCTTGGGGAATCCCTGCTGCTGGCACAGTGGCTCTGCCAGGCGGTGGCAGCTGCGTTCCATGGCTGTTCTGGCTGCTCTGTGCAGCCCAGAGGAACCCAGAACTGAAAGATTCCAGGCACTAAGAACTCCTGGGATGCTTCAGGACAGGACTGCCACTGAGGTACTTCATCATGGCCCCTCTGACTGCCCCTCCCAGAGTTACTCTTGTACCTTTATGGTTGTCACCTGGAGGATGAAATATGCTGGCCCTTGTCCAAGTTGAGAAGAGGAACAGAACAAATCTGCTTTCCATAAATAGATCTCCAAACTCACTAAGTAAGTATATAACTGGAAAACCATTGAGTGCAATAATGGTGTCATTCCAGACTTGACTTCAATTTAGAAAGTGTTTCTGCAAAGTCAGACCCAGCTATAATGAGCTAACAGAGACCAAATGGTATCGCAGTGTTTACAGTTTCACCAAAGAGCAGGACCTGCTGTCTGCAAGGAACTGCTGCAGAGGAAGACACCAGAGACCACTGAACGCCCTTGGCTCCTCAGGAAAAAAAGGGTAAAATAAAGTAGCACTTGCTTGGTTTTTATGGGTTAATGTACATGGATGAGTACTGAGCCAAGAACCAACCTCTTCCCCGTTAGGTAGTTTTCCATTTTATTTTTTGTGTATCCTGTGCAGTAGTCCCCATTATAAGCCACTTTTCATCACATGCCTACTCTGGATAAAACCATTTCCTTGCATTGCTTTGGGTAAGCTTTGTTTTCTCCTGCACATCCCTCGTTTATCCTGATTTTGAGCTCTCATGTGTCTGAGAGCAGGGCTAATGGAAAGAAAACACTCCAGGAGAACACAGGGAAAATAAAATCCATACAGCAGATAAATTATGCTGCCAGTTGCAAGGAACAAATCTGTGCAGCCAAGAGAATACAGCTTTCTAAGACACTACTTCCTGCTGCTAAACAATACGGGAATGGGTTTTTATATCCCTTAGCAACCTAATGTTCTCAAAATCAACAGGCATTTTGGCACAGCTACCTCCTGTTAATGAACTGTTTGTGATGCTTTAAAAAAATGATACAGCCTGTCACTGAAGAAAAAAAAAGCCTCTGATAAAAGTCATCTCAAGGAAAGGGTGGAAGTGAACTGCAATTAACCTCTTTCCTTCTGCTGTCCCTCGCATTGCCGGCACGTCACTGCTGTATTGTGCTGCAGGATTGCTCATGGACACTCCTGCAGAGCATGCTCAGCTGTGTTCCTATCCAGCTGATGAAGAGGACTGTTCTCCTCCTGTGCCAGGGTTTTCTCCAGCTCTGTTTCCACTTTGAGCTGACAGTTCCGAATTGCCTCCTGGATGCTCTGCAGGTTCCACTGAGTTCTCGGGAGAGCGTCGTCCACCGTGAAAACCCCGTCGCGTATTCTGCGCACTTGTGTGCACACAGCAGATGATTTCAGCTCCAGACCAATCTCGTGAACCATCTTCCGGAGGTACTGCTGAGTCTCATGCAGGCAATGGATTTCTAGGAGGACAGAGACATTCCTTCAGGACCAAAGCTTTGACACAAGCTCTGACATTGTAAATCCAGACATCACTCGCAGTTACACTGAAAGAACTGGTTTGGAAGAAGACACTAAGAGTATGGAATGATTTTCTGGAATACTGCAGGGTGTTCCACACCCTTCCAAAGTGAATACTTTAGAAAACAAACCTATAGATATAGAAGAGCAATGTAGAAATTTAGGTATTTCAAAGGGGATAAAAAGATGCCTTTTCTAATAAGACAAATAATTTGTGAGGGAAAGGGGACTGGCTACAGGAAAGCAAATGACACTTTTAAAAAAACCCCAAAACCCAGCTCTGAAATGCATTACACTGAAACACTGAGCTAAGAAGAATTTCCCTCATAAGTATTCATGATGCAAATTTTCCAGCCTTGGGCTTACATCTGAACTAGCAAGGAAAAAACTAGGAGCTGGCTGGATTTACCAGAGAAGTTGTAAGTTGATAAGAAATTCCTACCAACTCATTTTGCAATAAATAATGAGTAAGAAAATGAAGTTTACCAACTTATTTGCCACAATACATACTCAGAGTTCCCCGTACTTTCTGTGCCAGTCCTACCTAGCTGGAATTCTGGAAGTGCAAACTGGAGGCATCGGATTGCTGTGATTATTGGGGGGCTTTTTCCCATGGGGCGAATCAACCCCTTGACAGCCAGCTCATATGCCTCTTGTGTTTTCATATCAATATTAGAATACCTAGGGAAAAAAAGAGAGCAGCAGAGACATTTAGAACTTCTCTCCAAAGAGATTCAAAATATGTCAATCCCCTAAAAGAGAGATGCAGTTTTAATTCTTAAAACCATCCAGTGAGTTTTTGCATATATTTTTGTGGTGTATGTACTATCAGTAGTGTAGCACAATTTGGGATGGAGGTACATGGTCATATCTACAAGTTATTTTTCTCAGCCCTAATATAGCAGATTGGTCCTAAACCAGCAGGTTGGAGATTTTGGGATACGAGAAGGACATTTAACTGCAACCTCTCACCAGAGCACAGAGCACTAGGAGTAACTTCTCTCTGCCCCTTGCTAGTATTCCAACCTTTACAGACTTTGATTACGGGAAACAAATCCTCTCATTTGTTTTGAAGATGAGCACATGGCAGTGGGATCAGCCCAGCTCATTTCCCCGGTGGATACGCACATCAGCAGGGCCTTTTGATTTGTCCCTTGAATGACAGCGAGAATCCGCTCCAGCTTCTCCCTTGTGATGTGATCTGCAAATATTAAGGCAAAAACAACGTCTCAATTATCCATCCAGGAACTGGAAAGTCTGAAAAGTGCCACTGAGGTATTGCTGTCCCTCAGGCAGGCAGTCACATCAAAAGGGGCTGATGAGAGCTGAGGGGTGGCCTTTGCAAAGTCATTTCCCCTGGCTCTCCATGGAGCAGTACAGAGCTGGACTGCAAAGGGAAGAGTTATTTTGCTTAACTGATTCCAAAAGATTGATGCTCCAGTTTTCTTATTGTATGTTTTCATTCAATGAAATCTCCTAACTGCTATCTCCACGTGCGATTCACAGGAGATCTGGGTCCTGACCAACTAATTACAACCACTGTGACCAGCACTCACCTTGCTTTGTGTCTATCATGGTTAGATTTAGAACAGGGAACTACAGCATCAAGAAGGAGTAGAAGACATGCAAGATGTGGCTTTTGTCATTGTGCAATTCGCCTGATTAAATGCTTTAATCTGTTGTTCAGTGTTGTTTAAAAAAAAAAAAAACACAACACATCAAATCAGTTTCTTACCAAATGTTGTCTTCTCTACTAAATTTCCTGTGTCTGAGAAGTCATCAGTGGCTTTACCAAAAAGCCCACCAACAGTATAAACCTGGAAGAAGGACAAAGAGTGCAATTTATCAAAAAAAAATGCTCCAAGTAGTAGTACTGCACCATGCAGCTGCTACAAGTGCAGACTATGAGAGTTCTATACAAAAAACCAGCAACATCCTGTGCTCAAAAGGCCACAAGTGGATGCTCATGTGAAGGATGAAACTCTAGACCCTGAGAAGCTCTCAAAAGCATTGGTAGGCTTGAGACTTAAGTGCAGAATCAACATCACAAGGCTGGTCTGGGACACTGGGGCAGGATCAAGCATGTGACAGCACTCTGGAGCTCTGTTCAGAGCCAGCACCTACCTTGGTCAGGTGGCAGTTGTACAGGTCAGTGAGCAGCTTGTTCCCATGGCCGACGCCAAGCACTGCAAC